ATCATGGTGCAATCATAGTGAGTACACATAAGAAAATGAATAGCAGGGGCCACCAGGATTTCAGACGCCATTTACCAAGCGCGAAATTACTGAGTATCGTTTATTAAAATCACGGCTGATTTTGCTACCTTATTAAATGGGCGATGGTATAATTTTCAGAACTTTTTAATAATTAATGCTGGCATGCATGTATTAAATCTGTCATATCATTTATGTGAAATTGCTGTTATAAAGCTGGAAGAACCATTTTAAAATGTGACTGATTTATTCGGTTCAATTGCAAGTAAACCGTACCACAGGCTATAAGCAAAACCACGTCTTCTGGAGTAGATTTGGCGCTCTCGTGAACTCTGTTCAAAGCTTATCAGCAATTTCAAATTAATGCGCATATTTAATTCCTCCCACAGTTAATCAAGAGCAATCCAACGAATCATTGTACAACTAATGAGGATCGTTGGGCCACAACTCGAAAAGAGGCTGCTAGATGACTTTTCCGTCTTTGGGTTACATTATGGCCCTATTTCCTCGTCTATCTCATGACTTTAGACGATTGCAGGTGGAAACTGATTCCCTCAGATGAAGAGTATCATCTTTACGTTCAGATCCACATGAGAAATGCTGATTGGTGCTTTGAGATGTACCGCGGATCGATGGTAAGTCACTCGCTGTTATTTTGCGAAGCAGCACACGTTCAAAACGAACTTGATCATACGCCCATACTATCAGCGATATAATCTACGCTAACGTTATTAAGTCTATTTTCTGCAATCATCATAACTAACTATTTTCAGTCAGGATCTTCAATTAAGGTCTTTTGTTAGGATCCATATTCGTATTACACAGAATATAACTACGACGTCCTGAGGTAGCTACCACACTGTAGTTTTCCAATTTTTCTGGTACTCGATTTACACAGGGTAGACGCGTCTTCCGTTGCTTCTAGTCGCATATGCGAATCATTTAAGCAGGCCACAGATCCACGGTATTTAAGCGTCTGTAGTGCAGCCGATGCGAGACAGCATCAATGAGTTAGACTGAACAAACGCGTCTTTGAACTCTATCAGCTGTAGTGCCGGGTAACTACCCCAGAACATCGGGGTTATATTTTATCTCATTTTCTCTAAAACGTCTCTTCTTAAACAGTTGATGACTGTCTTCGCCTGATCAGCTAATAAGTATAACGGTTTAAGTATATATGTCCCAAAAATGCAGCAGGACTTGTAAGCAAAAGCCGATGTGTCTTCGATTATGGACGCGGAACTTCGTTTCTGAGCATAAGAATGACCAAATGACTAGATGTCACAATCTAGCGTAACAAAACGGCATAAGTAAGCTATCACACGATAGAACAGAAACGAAAATGAATCGGAAACTTGCCTAACTTGGTTTTGTTATGTGCGATAGTTATGAGAAACAAGTACGATGGAATAAAATAATGCTACAGTACCTAACTAATCTCTGACATGAAAATGGAAACATCAGCAGCCATATGAAATCGTAAAATTTACCATGGACTAGGGAGCGAAAAGTGGTATTCAAATGTGGATGTACTATAGGAGCAGTTATGCAAGATTGGACTATTCGAAGTAGATCAAGAGGGTGCAACATGTTCTTACATTAAAAATGATCC